CGCGCTGCTGTTCGTCAAGGGCGCCGTGTGGAAGGCGCTCTTCGGCAAGGAGGCCGACAAGCTGGAGCAGGCCAATGACGACGCGCGTACCTTCTACATCATCGAGCGCGATCCGCTCGTCAACACCTACATCTCCGTGCCCAAGGAGAACAGCACGCTCAACTGCGCCAGCTTCACGGCCGGCATCGTGGAGGCCGTGCTGACGCACAGCGGCTTCCCCGCCAAGGTCACGGCGCACTGGCACAAGGGCACCACGCTCATGATCAAGTTCGAGGAGGCGGTCATCGCCCGAGACCGGGCCCTGGAGGGCCGCTGACCCCGCGGGAGATAAAGGTTGCGGAGAGCCCCTTCCCAAGTGTGTCTCGTGTCTTGTGTGGCGGCCTCAGAGATCCTGCTGGACCCAGGTCCCCCCGCAGGCTGGGGGGAGGGAGGCCAAGGCCCATAGTACCCAGGTCCCCCCGCGGCCGGGTGGGGATGGGGGACCCGGTAAGGCTGGGGTGGAGGAAGATGGAGCCTGTGGAGAACACTGGCACTTTCTGGAATCCCAGCTGGAGGAGGGGGGTGTCTGGGTAGAGGAGTCTGGCTAAGACAGAGTCCTTGAGACCAGGGGGCTGACATGCTCAGCATACACAGCGGATGGTAAATAGTGAATGCTGAGTGGGTTTGTCTGGTTTCTTTGCTGTGTATCCAAGGCAGCCACAGGCAGTATGTAAAGAATGGGCATGGCTGTGTCCTCCCCCACTTCAGACCTTTGCTGCTCAAAGTGGGGTCCCTGAACCAGCAGCCTCAGTGTCACCTGGGAGCTTGTCAGGAATGCAGTCTTGGTAGGGCACAGTGGCTCACGCCTGGAATCCCAACACTGCGAGAGGATTGCTTGAGCCCAGGAGTTGGAGACCAGCCTGAGCAACATAGGGAGACCTCCTCTTTTCCCCCTGACCCCCACTTGCAGAGTCTCAGGCCCACCCAGACCTGCTAAATCTGGGCCTGCATTTTAGCAAACCCCCCTCCCGCACCCCCGGAAAATTTTTGTGAGCCTCTGTCTGAAATACTTTAGGCATTTAGAATCACTGGGAGACAACTCAGGTAGCTAGGCCCTACCCCCAGGGCTCTGAAGATTCTCGGAGTTGCCAAACTAAAATATCGCCCGGCTCAGTGGCTCAGCCTGTAATCCCGCGCCTTTGGGAGGCTGAGGTGAGTGGATTGCCTGAGCCCGCGGGTTCAAGACCCGCCTGGGCAGGCGAGACCTCCCCTCTACAATAAATAAAAAAAAAATTAGCCGGGTGTGGTAGCGCGCGCCTGTAGTTCCAGCTACTTGGAAGGCTGAGGCGGAAGGATCGCCGGAGCCCATCAGGTCAAGGCTGCGGTGGCCGGGAGCGGCCACTGCACTCCAGTCTGGGCGACAGAGTGAGACTCCGACTCAAAATATATATTTATATATGGTTTATCTTGAGCCAAATGTGAGTGACCTAGACCCATGACACTGTCCCCAGGAGGGCCAGAGAATGTGTGCCCACTGTGGTTGAATTGCAGTTTGGTTATATATGTTTTAGAAGGACAGACGTTCTAAGAAACCAGAGTCGAGTGGAAAAATCAACATTGTGTAAGACTAATTAAAAAACCCGTCTACCCAGACCATTAGTTGGGAATTTGGCAAAGGGAAGAAAAAGGGCCAACCTTAGTCTGCAGCAGATTGGGGTGTGCCCGAGAATATGCCTTTCTGACAGGGAACCCCACACCTGGAGAACTGTTGCTTATTGCCTTCTCAAAGGAGAAAAACCCAGAATCATCTGGGCGCTTAAAATATGTTTAAGTTAACTTAAAAATACTGGGTGACACAAACACATTTCCTTGTTAAAAAATTAAAGGTGAGCCAGATGTGGTGGCTCACGCCCGTAGTCCCAACACTTTGGGAGGCTAGGGCGGGAGGATTGCTTGAGCCCAGGAATTTGAGACCAGCCCAGGCCACATAGTGAGACCTTGTCTCTTCAAAAAGTAAAAAAAAAAAAATTAGCCAGGCATGGTGGTGGGTGCCTGTTGTCCCAGCTACTTTAGAGGCTGAGGCAGAAGGAGTGCTTGGAGGTTGAGGCTGAGATGAGCCATGATTGCACCCCTGCACTCCAACCTGGGTGACAGGGTGAAACCCTGACTCAAAAAATAAAGAAAACTGTCCAGGTGTGCTGGTGCTTGCCTGCGGTCACAGCTACTCAGGAGGCTGAAGCAGAACTGGTTGAGCCTAGGAGTTCAACACCAACACCAGCCTGGGCAACCTAGCATGATCCCATATCCAAAAAAAAGCAGACACATTAGACAACCTTCCTTACAGGTGTGAGCCACCGCACCTGGGTGTAGCTTTTTGTTCTGCTGTTTAGAATGCTCTGTCCAACTGCCTCACGGACTGGGGGACAGGCCTGGTCAGGGTCAGTCTCAGTCATTACAGCAAGAGGCGATGAGTCAGGGTGGGCTTCAGCACACAGAAAGAAAGTAGCACCCATCAGCGGGATAAATAAAACACGAGCACTGCCACGTGTACACCAGGGTAGCCATGGTGGCGCCAGGAGATAGCTCGGGCAGAGTAACCCTGGATCTGAAATGAGGGGACAGTGTCTAGGGGGCCAACAGGCACACGGGTCTGGAGGTTTGGGGTCTGAAGTTCTGGAGGGATGTCTAGGGGGTCAGTACACAGATGGAAGCAGGCCTGGAGAAAGGAAGAAGGGAGGAGTCAGTACCCTGGGAATCAAGAGGAGGTAGGTATGGTGTCTGGAAAACTGGGTTTCTTTCATGAGTTGGGGTTTCACTCTATTGCCACAGCTGGAGTGCAGGGGCACGATCACAACTCACCACAGCGTTGACCTCCTGGGCTGAGGCAATACTTGCTTCCTCAGCCTCCTGAGTAGCTGGAACTACAGGTGTGGGCCTCCTTGCCTGGCTAATTTTTTTTGAGTTGGAGTCTCTGTTGCCCAGGCTGAAATGCAGTGGCATGCTCACAGACACTGCAGCCTTGACCTGCTGGGCTCAGGTGATCCTTTTGCCTCAGCCTTTGGCTGGAACTACAGGCACACGCCACCATGCCCAGCTAATTTTTTTTTTTTTTTTTTTTTTTTTT